AAGGCAAATTAATGATCAACTTAGTCTGATCAATTCTTTAAATTAATTATCTTATTTTTTTATTACCAGCTTATCCTTATAATTTTTTATACAGAAATTAAATTATAAAAAAGATGATAATAATAATTTTATTTTAAAAAACATAAATAACCTTCAAATAGCTTTGAAAAGCGCACCCTCTAGAAAAAAGTCAATACTTAGCCTGATCAATTCTTTAAATTATTTTAATTTTTTTATTACCAACTTACTCTTATAACTTGTTTATGCAGAAAATTACGAGAAATTAATTTATAAAAAAATTATAATAGTAATTTTATTTTAAAAAACATAAATGACTTCTAAGTGACTTTGAAAAAAGCGCCCCTTAGAAAAACATCAATAGCGCCAACTACTATCCCCTTTCAAATCAGTTTTTGTTTGAAATATATTTTATTGTACGATCAAAAATTTTTAAAAAATTTTGTGCAACCGGCGCGCGGAAAGTCGCCCTTTACGCACATGATGGGATTTTAGAAAGGGCTCCCTTTCCACGCACCGGTCACACAAAATATCGTAGCCAACATGTGCGGGTCATAAATCGATTTACGATCCCCCGCACTTGTTAGCTAATATACTATTTTGGAGGTGATCGATTAAAATCAAACACCCTATATATGCATATATTAATAATATATAACCTGTGCTGGTGAGACCTGTGGCGAGCCAAGGATGTAACAAGTTATATACCAAACTTTCCATGTGCTTAGTACTGCTTAATATCGCCTGAAATCATTCAAAATAAGTTAAGATAGAAACATGTTTATTATAACAATTAATAATTTATCTCAAATTATCTAATCTCGCTCGAATATCTCCGATTTTATTTTAAGAACAAAATCTAAAATTTAAAACAAAATCGAAAAAAGATTCCTAAATAAATTGTAATGTCTAAAAATAAATTTGAATTTCTTCTTTTTTTACCTCCATATCATCTGAATGACGAATAATGATAACTGGCATAAAGACAACCCACACCCTTAAAATGGGATAATACTCATTAGATAACTTATACAACAACTTCCATTGTTCCTCTGAAAAAATAAATATGGCTATATAAAAATATCTTTGTAAGATTAATTTTAATGTTACTGCTTCTCTATTCAGATACGTTGCAAAATAAATGATAATAAAAAAAGCAATATTATTGCAAAAAAAAATGCTGATAAGCATGAGTGATTCTTTATTCATATAATCAGCATAATTAAGAAATATACGTTTCAAAATTTATACATAATTTTTGCCTGAATTTAAATACATTAATGACGGATTGTGCGTTAATTATAATATAGATAAATTAGAATTTTTGTACTTACCTACAGACATAAATATCGATTGAAGTACATTGCCAAAAATCAGACAGCGTGGTAGTTCCGGTATAAGATTAATGAGTCGCCCATTTCTCCCATGATGCACTTAATAATTATACGCCAATAAAATAAAAATAGATAATAACGATATAACAATAAATATTATTTGCTTGATGTAATGTTTCCCCTTGACCTTGATCTTATTAATTCTTTTAGTTTAATCTTCTTCAGCTTCCTGCTTCTCTTAGTGTTACGAAACAAATAATATTTTTGTTTTACTATAAAATTTACAAATAGCCTTAATATTTTAAATTTGTGTAATAAAATAACAAAATTTTTTGTAATTTTTTCTTGTAATTATTTTTAATATATGATAATTGTTTCTTTATTTAATGTATAAGATAAAATTTTGTGTGATTGCAAAATCATTAAAATCTAAAAATTATTAATAATATCATAATTAGAGTAAATAATTAGAGTTACTCTTACATCAATTATCACGAATAATTTTACATACAGATTATGTTTAGCATTTTTATAATTTTATTTAGCCTATAATTGTAAAGAAATATTCTTAAGCAATTATAATATATTTTAAATAGTTTTTAAAATTTTTATTTGGTTTTTATTAAAATTATTATTCTTTTCAACTAGTGATAGATAAAAAGGCCAACTTATCGAGCAATTATTAGAGTTGTTCTGTCAAATAAAATTTATTCCATGTATAAACTAAACATAAAACATTATTATTCTTTTATATTTTTGTTATTTTTTATATATACAAATTAAATAATTATTGCAAAAAAAAAGTTTTTTGTAGATTTAATTTCCGTAAAAATAATATATATTATATTAAATAAAATTGAAACAACCAAAATCAATTAATTGACTTATGATAATCTGATAAAAATTTATGTAAATATTACGCGCTTACATTAATTATATGATAATATTAATCATTTAAGATTTTGCAATAGAATATTCTACAATATTATTGTACATAAATATCGCCGATTACCTGATATATATTTTTATGTCACGATCAATTTAAAACACATCACGCAAATGTTTAAAAATGAATTGCACATTTCATCAATCAGACAGACACATGCATGTCAGCTATATAAATCTATTGTATGATGATAATATAAATCTGAGTCCTGTATAGTATAGTTGCATTATTCAGGTCAAATTATATTGATATAGCTTTTATATTGATACAGCATATTGATACAGCTTTTATCTAAAAATGCAGAATAATTCCATTTTAATTGAAGAAACAAATAATATTACATCTGAGAAAGTAAATAATGATTATGAAATCATTAGAAAACGTTTTAGAATAAATTTTTTTTAATTATTCTTTTTCAAAATCGAAGTTTCAATATCATTATTATCGATGCATGAATAAAAAAAAATTTACTTTTTTTAATCAAATTTTTACAAAAAAATCTATATAAAAATTTAATAGAGTGATTTCCTTACCGTAAGTATTTACTTTTCATCCGACTCTTACAACCCTTTTTATGTCAAATATTGCAAAAAATCAATTTAAATAAAAAAAATCATGTAGTTCCATTAAAAAAAATTAAGTGTTGACTTTGAAATTATTTTCCAGACTTCAAATGATCCTCTCGACACGAAATGACTTTTACTCTAAACATTTTTGTTTTAAGCTTAAGGGCTCCGGAATATTTCAGCGGATTTATTAAAATAGTTCACCCTGTATATACGATTACAGTTTTACGTAAGATCAATGTCCATAATTAAAGTTAACAGTATTATTAAAAAAAGTCGAATATTTAACAATCAGATTATGATGCATGAAAAATGTCTTGTCGTATCAAATATATCTTGAACAACATCACAATTATTTATTTTCACGTGTATATATATCAGGGATAGTCTAGTTAAAAAGATAAAAGTTAAGTTAAAAAGTTATAAGGTTAAAATATAATTTTATTAAATGTCTGATAGAAATTTCGAAATGGCTTTTATTACTTACAGTCAGTCAAGTAAGAGCGTGGTCGGGTAAATTTATGGAAAAACTTATTAAATGGTATTTTATATTTATATATATATTGTACTGAATATAAACAATGATGCAATTATATTAATAATGTGTCCAGTCACCATCGGCGTCGATAATTGCCTGGCATCTCCGAGGCATGCTTTCGACTAATTTAATTGCATATTCTAGGCAACGATCTCCAGATACGACGAATTTCGCAAGATAACTGCTTGGAAGTGTATGTACGTTTACTACGAAGCTTATGCTTAATATATGCCCACACATTTTCGATGGGGTTTGCATCGGGCGACTGTGACGGCCAATCCATTGATATTCTCATGCGCCCAAGCGAGTCGATTCGTAACATGTTTTTCAGTCAACAAAGGCTTCTTCATTGTGGGGCGAAATTTCAGGTTATGAGCACGGAGATGAGTTCGGATAGTTTCGTGCGATATATCTAAACCTTTCGACTTTAATTTTGCCTGTCCTTGTCGCAGTGTTAAAGAAGGATTTCGCAAAAACAGATTCACTATTTTTTTTTCGTCTTTTTTATCTACTTTGCCTATTGAGCCACGTTCTAGTAAATCATCGACATTTTTTGCCACTTTATATCGCTGTATCCACTTCTGTACAAATGTTTTCGACTTTCTCATGTATTTAGCAGCCGCTGATTGTGACATTTTTGGACCTTTCGGATGGGTACACAGGAACACAGCCTCGTAGCGCGACGCGTACTTAGCACTCATGACGCTTATCGTGTTTCTCTTTCAAAGAATCAAAGACAACTGAATATTTTTTGACAATGCATCAAGGGCAAAACTTCCCTTTATAGTCTCACGAAGGATTTAGAGCGAAATCTTTTATTACCTGTCAATAAAATCGACCACGCTCTTACTTGACTGACTGTAAATTTAATAAGTATCTGTGCAGACAAAATATAAAGTATGTTTCTAAATAAAGTATAATAAATAAAGTGATGTTTGTATTACTTCCGTTATTTGTAAAACAGTGAAACCCTGAAATTATAAAATAAAACAAATTTAAATTTTAACTTTTTAATTACCTTTTATTATTGTATTAACTTAACTTTTAATTCAATTAATTCCATTATGGGTTAACTTGTATCTTAACTAAATTCCATTTTCAAGATTATTAACTTTAATTTAATTTATTTAAAAAAAAAATTAACTTATCTAATTCTGAATATTATATACAATATATTAAATTTATTACATTGCATGTTTGCATATATAACAGACTTCTACAGACTTTTAAAATTACCACTTTAAGGCTTTCATTTTTCTACAAATGTCACATGTCGCAAGTGTTCAACACGACGTTTAATATAATACAAAAAATATAATAGAAAAAAAAACTTTTTAGCATAAATTATAATAAAGAATGAAAAATAATAAAATACTAACTGTAAGATATAAATTACATTGAGAGACACAGTATATATTATTATTATGTTTTTTGTACTTAAATATTGCGAATTGATTGACTCACAACGTGACCTTTTGTTCATCCTTGTTATCTGTTGTGTTAAGCGAATTTTTTTTTAAATTTCAATATAGGTATATATATTCGAACATCCGGATAGATTTTTCCTTAGTGCGTCTTAAGAGCCAATTGAGCTTCAGTATGTTGGAGATATCGAGTTTCCTTCCATACCTTTTCAGTATCGCAATTGTATTTGTTGCGATACAGGCGGAATATAAGCAATCTCCGCCGAAACGAGACTATAATCTGTACGATGATAAAGTTGACATGTTGAGCTTGACGAATATATTTAGGCTGGGTGGTGGAATCTCTAATTTTCTGAGACAGGGTCAACATGATCTGAATCAGGAAGTACCAGAAACGACCCCTGAATTCGGAGACGTATACGATTTTGTGATAGTTGGTGCTGGCACAGCTGGTGCCACGGTAGCCGCGAGATTGAGTGAGATTCCTCAGATAAAGGTATTACTAATCGAAGCTGGATCCAACGAGAACCTTTTTATGGACATCCCAATATTCGCTTTCTCCCTTCAAACCAGCAGCAACGTCAATTGGAAGTACCGGACCAAGTCGTCCAACAGATATTGTCTCGGTATGAACGACAACAGTTGCAACTGGCCAGCAGGGAAAGTGATGGGTGGCAGTAGTGTGCTAAACTACATGATTGCTACCAGAGGCAGCGCCGAGAACTTCGATCGCTGGGCAGAAATGGGCAATGAAGGTTGGGCTTATAAAGACGTTCTCAAATACTTTAAGAAACTTGAAACAATTGATATCCCAGAATTGCGATCGAATACTACTTATCATGGAACCGAAGGACCGTTACACATTACTCATTCATTATACCGTACACCATTAGCAGAGGCTTTTCTAAAAGCTGGCGAAGAGCTAAAGTACCCATTGGTGTCGGATTGTAACGGGAAGGATGTAATAGGATTCTCATATGTACAGAGCACAATTATGAACGGCGCTCGAATGAGCAGTAATAGGGCGTACCTGTACCCCATACACGATCGCAAGAACCTTCACGTGACTCGAAATAGTATGGTAAGAAAAGTGCTAATTAATCATCACACAAAACAAACGGTTGGTGTAGAGTTTATCAAATATGGTCGGATTATCCAGGTGTACGCGAGTAAAGAAGTGATATTGTGCGCGGGTTCCGTTGAATCAGCTCAGTTGCTGATGTTGTCCGGCATCGGACCGGCTAAACATCTCAGGGAACTAGGCATAGATGTCGTTCGCAATGCGCCGGTCGGCGAAAATCTGATGGACCACATCTTCTTCGGACTGTCGTGGACGATAAATGCACCAGTAGGGATAAAAGCACAGGAATTACTGAATCCCATTTATCCATATATGGTGGATTTCTTTACGAGACGATCGGGTCCTTTAACGCTTCCAGTTGCGAACGAGGCTTTTGCTTTCATCAATACCAAGCATCCGGAAAAACGCAGCGGTTTGTCAGACATTGAATTACTGTTTAGCAGTGGTGATCTTAAAGGAGATCTCCTTTTCCCGTTTATTATGAATGTGAACAGTGAAATTCGTCAAATTTGGAGTAAATACTCGAATAAATATGTCTGGACTATACTGTCAATACTGTTGAAACCAAAGAGTCGCGGACGGATAAGATTATTGGCGAATGATATTAATGTTAAACCTGAGATTGTGCCAAATTACTTCGACGATCTGGAAGACATGGAAACGATGATCGCCGGAATTAAGGTCGCGATAAGTATCGGTCAAACGAGGGCGATGCAAGAGTTTGGTTCGCAATTGCTTAATGATACTATACCTGGATGCGAAAGCTACAAATATGATTCCTATGCTTATTGGGAATGTATGATCAGAACAGTCTCTTCTACTCTCTATCATTATTCCGGTACTTGCAAAATGGGTCCAAGGGGGGATACAACTGCTGTTGTCAATCCCAAATTGAAGGTCAGGTATTTAAAAGATCCCAAGTAGCAAACTAACGTCAATAGACGTCATTGTGACATTTAAAGACGTCAGTTTGCTACTTGGGATTAGAGAGTATTTATAAGGATATAATGTAATTTACAATGTTCTGAATTTATATAGAAAACATTCTGTACAGGTAATTGATGTTCAAGGACTAAGAGTAGCAGACGCTTCCATCATGCCTGAGATTATATCGGCACATCCAAACATAGCTGTTTGTATGATTGCCGAGAAACTGGCAGATATGATCAAAGAAGAATGGGGATACTTAAGAAGTCCCTAGACGTGTTTTAGTGACGTGTTTTATAAAGTAATTGTACAAGAAAAACAGACTATAGTTCCAAAAAATTATCTCTAAAATTGTAAATTTTTTTGTAAAAAGGCATGCAAAATCGATTCTCGCATGTATTGTTGCCGTTTTTCCGCATTGCTGATTGGTTGTCTCGATTCGCATAGTGTGTTATATTTATATCAAACAGCTGTCATTGCGAAGATTAACAGTTTGACAGTTGTTCTAAATAATATTAAATCAAAGCATATAAAATTAATGACGCGCGCGAAGCGCGCGCTTGTGTTGTATAGTATATTTAAAATTCCTAAAGGTCGTTATGTAACAAAGTATTCAAGATCTTCGCAATTGTCTGTTTTATCAATCAATTATTATTTTCGTACTTCAGTCTTTTGACGTATTAATTTGACAGAATAAAAAATCCTTCTCTACGATTGCAATACATACATCAACGATCCTAGGGAAGTTTGATCTCATACGAAAAACGAGAAATAATTACGAAATTACAGATTTCCTTATCTACTTTTATCTTTATATGACATCTTGAATGACAGATGAGCTGTCAACTCATCATTTTATGTGCTTTATATAAAAAATATACATTTTGTATATGAATATAAACACAAGATACAATATATATATATATATATATATATATATATATATATATATATATATTGTATCTTGTGTTTATATTCATATACAAAATGTATATTTTTTATATAAAGCACATAAAATATATATTATATATATCGGCTGTAGAACCTAACGCGATGTCTTTTGCGTCTGTTATAACAAAAATTAAATTTTTTCGCTAATTAGGGCTAGTATCCTTGGTACAAATTTCTAGATCCTGTGTTTCCCTTTAACTTCCCTGTAAAGCTATAGACGAGAAAAATATCGGTAAGAGCAATCACTCGGCAAGCGAAAGACTCGGATTCGATTCCTGATTTAGTCGACTTTTGGATCGATATTTTTCTCTTCTACTATATATAGCTTTACAGAGGGGTTAAAGAGGAACACAGGAATTAGTGATCCGTACCAAAGATACTATTTCTAATTAGCAAAAGAATTTAATTTTCGTTATAACAGACGCAAAAGACATCGCGTTAGGCTCTATACAGCCGATATACATATATATATATATATATATATACATATATATATAATATATATGTATATATATAATTTTATTGTTCCCCTTGGAGTTACAACTTTACATACACAATTTCCAATTACAATAAAAACCAACAAAATAATAATGTTACAATAACTTTAACAATTTAATCTTACTATAACTTATTACTAACTTATTACTAACGATATATACAGTGTTCAGAAAATCGCCCGCAATACTTCGGGAGGTGATTCGGGATCCAAAAAGAAAAAAAATGTTATATAAACATAGATCCGGAAATAAGTCGTTTCCGAGTTATAGCCACTTTTATTTTATTTTTTTTAATTTTTCGATATTTGAAATATAATTACATAATTTTTAAAAATCAAGGATAAACATAAATATTTAAATCAAATTAAATAAGATGTTAAAAATGGCCACCTTCAGCACAAATCTCAGAGATGAGTCTTTTATAATACAACACATAAGAAGTGAACACCATACATTTAATTAGGATAACGTAAAGATTCTGGACAACAAAAATAATTATTATAAAAGACTCATCTTTGAGATGCTACATATTAAAGAACAAAAAATGGGCTAAATTTAAACAAAGATACTGAATTACTCAGCAAGTCTTATTTTGATATTTTGGATAAATTAGCGAATAATAAATAATAATAAGACAAATAGGACATTAACGGTTTAAACATAGGTATTAGATCATATATAAACACGCACATTCTTCGATTAAGTAGAGTTTGAAATGAGGTGTCTTTTTATATTGTTGGTCTTGTCTTGTGTCATCTTCAATAACTTATTCAAAAAAACGTGGTTAAAATTGTCAAGAAGGACGATGCCAAGTAAGCATATTGCTAATTGTTAAGGATATATATTTAAATTTTTAACATACGTTAATCGTCAATTTTTTATTAATCGCAGCGCCTACGGAACGTATTAATTTCTCGCATATTAACGATGAAACTTTTCGAGATTTGATTAAAATCAAAGATCATATCGAGGCGAACATTTGTTGGATATGACGGATTGAAACACGCTTTAATTGCTTATAAATTCTCGACTTTTATTGAAGAACTAACATTAATTTTCGATATTATGTGAAATTTTTGTATGATTTTGTATTTTTTAATAATTACTGTAATATAATACTGAGGAAGACCGCGTGCGGTTGAAATGTTTATTTTATAATGATTGTAATTTTCGCTTAAGTTTGAGTATAGAATGTTTGTAGCTTTCACATAATGTTTTATGTTTAGTTTATACATGGAATAAATTTTATTTGACAGAACAACTCTAATAATTGCTCGATAAGTTGGCCTTTTTATCTATCACTAGTTGTATTTACTAATTAAATTTCAAAATATATTAATTTGTTAAAATAATTAAATAGTAATATATGTTGTAACAAAATACTTTATAATATCATAATATTTTCCATTATTTTCAATTTTATTCCATTTTATAAAGTATAATAAATGCATGTTTTTTTTCTAACTGACACTTTAATTAATACTGAATCACAAAAAATTAATGACATCAGCTCACAAAGTAAGCGCAAGGATAGAATAAATCGATGTCGTAGAAAAGAGGCAACAATACAATACAAGACATTCGATAGGACTTCGAGATATTCGAGAATCAATAAAATGCGCCTTTTTTAAGAGAGACTAAACCAACGAAAGCGCGCGCGATTGTCAGTTAATTTTGTTTGAAATTACTTTTAAATTGATGTTTTTATTTATATATGTTTTTATTTATTTTTTTTAGATAGTTATATTTTTATATATTAAATTCCTTTTTTAGTCTTGCTTAGGTTTTATTCGCATTATCCTCGGAAATAAAATATACACATACATGATTTATTTTTTTTACAAATAAATTTATTAATAAATATATAACAAGATCAGAACAAGAGTATGATCATATGGTACAGATTCCTCAAGTTGTAACGCGCAAACTAGATCGAAAGATTCTTCCTCTGTTATTCTAATGTTTCCTTTCCAGTTTTTGGCAAAAAGAACGACAAGAGACCGCAAACTAAAAAAATTGATTTAATTATATATGAATTTAATTATATGTATGTATATATGTTCCCAAGTAGAACAGAAAAGTCAAAATAATGTCAATTTGACGTCATCTTGACCAAATTTGACCTCCAAATTTAATCAATATGACGTCAAAATGATATTATTTTGATTTTCTGTTCTACTTGGGTTATTAGCATCTTAGAGTTAGCATCTTGATGTGGATTCGACCTCTTTGCGCATGAACAGTTAGAAAGTTTAATATCTGAGTGGACAGATCAATATTAGTATTTTTTAGTACTTATAAATTATATAAAATAGAACAAACTTACTATAATTTTTATACAAATTAAAAATTCGGACCTTAATTATTAAATTAAAAGAAGTCTTACCAAACAAAAACGCGGCAAACAGTATGATGGGAACAACACAGGCTAAATCAATCAGATAACCGAACACCAGGTTGCCGACCAGAGCACCCAATCGGCCCATCGTCAGGGACAAAGCAGCCGCCATCACTCTGAAACGAAGTAATAAATTAAAGTCTTGTATATATGATGCTAGAATTTGGTCCAAGTTCTAGCATCGTGTACACAAAACTTAATAAATCTTTTTGTTAATTGTGTGTAGAGAAATAATGAGAACTTGATTCGCTCGGGAGAGTCCCGTTAGCACACATCCACACACATAGATCTTAGGATAATTCCCAACACATTTGACCAAGAGAGTTCTAGTGTTGACCAAGATCCATAAATGAACGACGGGAGGAGAAGGAAGGTCATCGCATTTATATTTCAGCATTTGGGCCCCAAAATGGCGTCGGCAATTCAGCCATCGGACAGCTGTTCAACTACAGTTTTTTTTTTCACTAACACTTCGTACGACACACACCGACATACAACACGCATAACTTCGTGAGCCCAAAATGGCGGCTCATGCGAGGACCTTCCTTCCTCTCCCGTCGTTTATCTACGGATCTTGCTGTTGACCAATTAGCAATCACAGAGCTATTGGAAACCTCTCGATTCACTCACCTGAGATTTGTCGGAAACATGTCGACGATCACGCAATAAACTAAAGAGATCCCGAGAGACGTAAGGGCCTCGAACACGCATGAAAGCACCAAGTTCTGCATCGAGTTCACCACGTAATAAAAACCCACCGTCACCGCGCCGGAAACCACCAATGACATAACTGAAATGGACGTTTCATTTAGAAATTGGGATTCTAAATTGTTAAGAATCTAATAATTCTATACAATTTAATATTTATTTACAACTAAAAATAGTTGTATAATTATTAGATAACTATAGAATATAGTATACTATAGTATATAGTATATATAGTATGTAGTATATAGTATATTATTATAGCATAGTATACAATATAGTATATAGGTATGGTATAGTATATAGCAGTAATAGTTATATAGTAATACAGTAAATAATACAGTAAATTCTAATACAGTATAGTAACAAAATGACGTTATTTTGTCACTCACTCAGAAAGAATTTGGCTCCCAGTTTGTGCACGAAGATAGGCAGAATGATGGACCCGGGGATGCATGCCAAGCCGATATACACGGTGTGCAGATAAACGGAAGGCGCGATTACCGTATCGCATCCGTAAGGATCAAAGAAAGTTTGATTATCTGGCAGAGCAGAAACTATACACACCGATGTGGTCTCGCCGGGATTCACGTGCTCGAACTGCTCGAATCTGTCAACAGAATGCAACGTAAGACAGACCTTCTTGTAATTTTATGGGAAAAAGCTTGTCGATCTAAGAAAATTAATTTGACGTAGGGATTACCTGGTGAACAGTTCCGGGAACCAGACCATCAGGGTGTAATAGCTGCTGGTGAGTCCAAATTGAATGGCGCAAGCGAGCAATGTGTTGCGCAAATATGGCTGCTTGCAAAGTGCAGTCGTCAGATCTCGTATTTCTTTGAAGAGGACTTTCAGATCCTTCCGCTTGTGCAGTTTCAGTGACCTGGTGCTCTTATCTTGGTGCTTTGTCTTCTCTTGTAGACACTTTACCTGAAGCGAGAAGAAGAAAGAGTATAAAGATTTATTAAATATTTTATGAAACCACGTGTATCTCTTTCCCAATAAAAAATGATTGGTCGAATCGTCATCAATTCGACATCGATTCGATGAATTTGACATCGATTCGATAACGAATCGACGTCGATTCGACCATCATTTCTCACTGGGTTCTCTCTCTCCTATTTGCATTAAATACTTTTGATTAAAGTACATCTAATATTGTCATGCTGTAATTACTTGTGATACGGCCCCGGGAAAGAAATTTAAACTTTCACTAATATCTTGATTATCATTTCTTGAACTAGGGAGGCATAAGAGAGTTTAGAATCACATCTGAGGATTTTATCTAAAAATTTAATTCTACCTAAAATAGAGAAAATATTTATTATTTCCATCATGAGATTAAGAATCAAGGTATTGTTACCGGATAGGTATCGGGATCAGCGCCGGTATTTCGCGAATATATCCACTTGAACACCTCGAGAGCCGCATCGGTCTCGCCGCATTCCAGCAGGAACTTTGGGCTCTCCGGAAAAGTAAAGAGCCACAGGCCGAGCATAAGCGAAGGCAGGGCGCAAAGCGCGACGAAGAGATTCCAGGACTTGAAGTAGAACGTTTCGCTGTTGTACATGAAGTCCATGGGGATAATTAGCCAGGCAATCACTAGAAAATAAGATTGACTATAGGTTTGTTCTTTATTTCTGCACTGGTTAAGTTTTGTTTCACTCTAACTTACGGCACCAGTGTGTACTAGTTCATTATTGCAACAATAAAGAACAAATCCTATGTCACCCCTAGTTTTACTTATTGCACTAGATTACCAATGCAGCAATGGTTTGTTCTTTATTGCTGCACTGGTGAACTAGTGTACACTAGTGTACAGTGCTGTAAGTTAGAGTAAAACAAAATATATTTGTCTTACTTTAACTCATTGCACTAGTTCACCAATGCAGCAACAAAGAACAAACTCAAGAACAAATCCTATGTTACCCCTAATTTCACTTCAACTTATTACACCAGTTCACCAGTGCAGCAATAAAGAGCAAACCCTATATCTTCTGAAAAAGCTCAACGAAAGAGAATGAACAGCCAACGTAAACTACTTACGCGGTAAGACTATTACACCAATCGTCCAGAACATCTCCATCCAGCAGAGAACTTGTTCGCGGTACTTTGTAGGTTGAAATTCGCCAAGATAGGGGAAGCAAATACCCATGGCACCGGTTACACTGCATAATAATCGAAACTTTATGTTAATATTATTAACATCTCTCAAGACTTTCTTCAAGTCTTTCTTTCTCGATGTTAGGATATCAATTTTGTTTTTCTAATAATACATTTTGCTGATGAGTTAGGGAGTAATAAAAGCTCCTATATATTCAAACATCTTTTTAAACTAATATTCTTCAATAAACCATTTTAAAGATTGAAACGCCTAGCCATTCTTGAAAAAAAAATCGACTTAAGATCAAGAGAGGCTCTGAATAGATACTAACGCGAAACCGTTGAAGAACCGGAAGACCAGAAATACCCAAAAGTACTGAACGAACGAGGACAGGATGCCCACGATGCCATCCATCAATAACGTAGCAATCAGCACGATCTTTCTGCCCTTCGTGTCAGCCAGGCATCCCCATATATATGAACCAATCACCATACCTGTCAAAATATACCCACTCATAGATCAATTCTTGCTAATAAAGTTCTTTTAAATGGAATCAGTGTATTATCACTAATAAGTAATTTCAGTTATAAGTATAGCACTGTAACAGCAAAATCTCAATGAGAAGAATCAGTTAGTAATAGTGACTGATTTGTTAAAGTGGTGTATCTTCAATCAGCAAAATATAAAAGAGGGTAGAACAAAGTGTTTTCAGCAAAATACTAATCTTCAATTGATCTTCAATCTCGTTCTGTTTTAATGAATGACACTTTCACCAATTCATCAATTTAAAAGAATGGTTTTCATAAACACTGACCTAGCATCGGAGAAGCGGTCAGCCAACCCTTTGCGGTGGAGTCCATTTCCAGGTCGCATTGCGCCGCCGGAAGTACAAACGAGAGTATTGTCACGCCGATTGCCGTGTCCATATAAATCAAGCCACAGATGGTCAGCAGCCAGTAGTGAAATTTTCCGAAACCTGAACACCAATTTGGATTTAATAAGACGGAGGATCCAATGCAACGCACCTGGGACTTTCTAGTATTTTTACATTGTTCTTCTTTGTTTGGGAATTTTTTTACTGTATACCAGATGTACAAAACTATACTATTATTAATTTTTAAAAATTTTTAGGACCTTTGAAATTAAAGGATATTAATAAAATTGTAATAGTAGAAAAAAATTCTTGCCTGTTACGGTGATTGCATGCTCGAAATCGGCACCTCCGTCTGCCAGGAAGTCGAGTCCTATAATAATATAGAAAAAGTAATATAAATAAAAAAATATCAATAATAAAATAAAAATAATAAATAAAATAATAAAACAAAAATAAATGAAACAAATACATAAAATAAATAAAATAAATTAATATGCAATATATTGTAAGAAAAAATTATTTGTCAAGCAATGATCTAGAGTCAGATTTGAACGAGAATGGATGATTGTCATGTAATAATAAATCATCTCGCATCTAAATCATCTCTATTCTTCGTTCAACGAAAGAACATGCATCAGACAGGCAAAATACGAAGAGACACCAGCAGTCCAATATTTTCGGATCCTGATACTATTTATTGTAGGCATTAACAAGTTAAATAAGAGGTAAAGGAAGAGGCTATAGGCAAAACCTGCCCAAAACGGACGAAATGTTTGATCCAATGCATATTTTCTTGTTAAACGGAGTATAAAATTTTCCTCTCTTTTATTCCTCGAATAATCTAAAGTCATCAATCCTTTAGAAACTCACCCATGATCGCCGCTCAAGTCGCTGGACGTCCTGGAAGTGCTCGCAGGCCGGAGGTTCTCCTTCGGGGATGTGCCGTCGCAGTGCCGTCGCTTCCTGGTGGTGCTGCTGCAATTGCCGCGGTTATATTGTTCCTGACGAGACCCCACGTTCATTGGTGAACCAAAAAACGGTGGTAATCCTGCCGGCTGCCTCGCTGCCGTGAATCCCACCCTCTCTCCCGTGAGGTTGCTATCCCCCTGAAGCCGAAAATGTCCGCGATTTTCTCCTCAACCGGAATCTCCGAGTTCTGCAAAAGGAGAAGGTAGAGGAAGCGCGTAGGCGAGAGCAGCCTTTGCTCCCGCGATTGCTATCAAGCAAATGATCATGGACCATGAATCGGCGGAGCGCACCTTGACTTCCGGAGCAAGCTCGAGGCTGGCTCCAGATAAGATATCATCCGCCTTCGCCAGAAGAGGGGCTTCGCGCTTCACTTTCGGCTTTTCCCAAAATCGTGATAAACCTTTACAAAAATTTGCGATTCGATAATAAAAAAAGAGAAGCAAAAGACACGCGATAAGAAAAATTTAGGCAACGTCTATATGAACCAGTTTGAAACAACCTAATATAAATTTTAATTCTTTTAATTTAAATTTATCAATAATTATACATTATTAATAATTATAAATGGAATTGAACTTATCTTTCTGTTTTTTTCTTACTTCTAACAATTAATTTAAAAAAAGACATTTTTATTATTTTTTCTCTTCTCTAATTAATAATTTTTTTATTCTGCTTCTCTCTTTTCTCTATCGATTACGATATTTTTGTCGATTTTTAGCCAACTGTTATGTAATGAACATACGTAACGAAATGTCTACTACGAAATGATTGTTATATTTATGATGCAAACTCGTGCACGCGTAATTTATGATCCGGGTACACGGAAGTCAGTTTATTTGATTGTCACCATTTGTCGTAATTTCTCGCGAAATTGTGTCGTACATGTGACACCTCGTCATTATACGTCATTAATTTATTCGAGCTTTAATCGTGATAAGATACAACGAAAATACCTTCCACAGCATCAACAAGATATCAACCTGCTGTACCAATTTTTTAATGATATATTAATCATCGCTGTATTCATTATTAATCATTTTATATATACATATATATGTATATATGTATGTATATATTTTTATATAATATAATATATATGTGTATATATATGTATATATATATATATATATATATATATATATAATTATAATAATATATATATTTAATATATATTTATATTTAAATTATATAATATATTTTATATTAGATTATATAATATTATTATAATATTTAATTATATATATATATATATATATATAATTATAATAATATATATATTTAGTATATATTTATATTTAATTATTATATAATATATTTTATATTATTATATAATTATTATTATAATATTTTAATTATATTGAAGTATTTATATTATATAATATGATTTAATCAAATTATTGATAAATCGAGAATAATGACGATTATTTTCTAAATTTGATCGATAATTTCGCGAAATTACAAATGAGAGAATTCTCGAGAAATTCTATAAAATCATTAGGGATTTCGCAGGATCAGTCACGAAATTCTATACAAAAGCGTCACACTCTTCAAACGTGACACGGATGACTTATGATTCTCGTAAGAAGAAGAAAAAATAACTCGTTTCGCGACGTTTTTTGCTCGACAAAAAAATATATCACTCGGCTTAAAATCGTGACATGTGAGAGCGATCTTCGCTCCTTCATTTCTTACGCATATTACCTATTATTTGTTTGTCGCGCGCGACAGCTTCTTCATCATCTTCTCTTGGCAAATAGCAAATTTATCTGTGACGATCAGAGTTGGGTAAGTTAATGATTTTTTAAACTAAATTAAGTTAAAATTATAATTGCTTATCAAATTAATTTAGTTAAGTTAAAAGTTTGCATAAACAAAAAATTAACTCAGTTAAAGTTAAGTTAAGATTAAATTAAATAAAGTTAAATCAAAAGTTAATTTTTCAAAACATTATTTATATTAAATTAGAATTTTGTTTTTTTTTTATTATTTAAAAATTTATAATAACAAGTAAATTTTGATTTTTATGTAGAAATATATTTTTTGGTAATTACAATTAATGACAAATGTAAACATAAAAATTAATAATACTTTAATTAAAAATAATACATTTATAACTTTACGTTTATAACTTTACTTTAAAAAGAACAATAATGTATTCAGAAATAAAAAATTTAACTTAGGAAAGAAATTAATAAATTTAATATAAAAAATAACTAGTTAAAGTTAAAAATTAATACATTTTAAATTAACTAAACTAAGTTAAAATTAGTTGCATATAAAATTAATTTAGTTAAGTTAAAAGTTTGCATAAATAAAAAATTAACTCAGTTAAAGTTAAGATTAAATTAATTTAAGTTAAATCAAAAGTTATTTTTTTAAAACGTTATTTATATTAAATTAAAATTTTGTTTGTTTATTCTTTTAAAATTTATAATAATAAATAACAGAAATTTTGATTTTTATATAGAAATATATTTTTTGGTAATTACAATTCGTGACAAATAAACATAAAAATTAATAATACTTTGGGAAACATTAAAATAATGTTTATAACTCATAAAAAACCAATAATGGTATGCAAAAATAAAAAATTTAATTTAATAAAAAAGTTAATAAGTTTAAGATCAAAATAAATAACTAGGTAAAGTTAAAAATTAATACATTTTACATTAACTAAGCTGAGTTAAAAGTTATTAACTTTTTAGATTTTTTTTAACTTTTTAACTAGTTATTACCCAACCCTAGTAACGATCAGTGGCCATCCTGGGGCCAATGAGAAATTATTTAAACGGTGTTCTACTTACACTTATTTATCTTAGACTTTATTATTGTGATCGATCCCAAATTCTTCAAATTTTCCACGATAATGCGCAACACTCAAAAACAATAATGATTCATCATTAGCACTTTACACAATAAATGCAAAATAATTGCTGTTCCTTTGCATATAACGCGGGTCGATTCAAAGTGCAATATCTGTCATTTATTTGCGAGCGATAATGTGCAAATTTGAACGCGAGATTTCGATTCGATTCGCAAAAAAGCAATTTTATACGTGGAAAGATCCGAATAAGTAGGGAGAGAGTACAGTTTCTAATCATCAAATCAAAGAACATTAGTCATCTTTTATCGACTCGAGTGATTTTCCCAGATACGTTGTAATAATTATCTATAAATCTCAAGTAGAAGTTTATAGAATGAATCTCAAGTAGAGATTGTTTTTTTTAATTTTGTGTATCGAAAAATCTTCATCAAAAAAAAATATTTAAACTATCTTTCTCCATTTCTTCGTTAAAAATATTGGAAAAAATTAATAGAATTAATTTAATATTTTAAACAATTATTATATTACACATTATATTTTATATATTATATATTATATATTATATATTATATATTATATATACAATTTTAATATATATATTATATACAACATATAATTTATAATTAATTATATATAATAAAGTTGTGAATTTTTGAAAAAATGATCTATTTATTACAAGAAAAAGAAAACATACGCATATATATATGGCTATATTTTAAATATTATAATTATAAAATATATATATTCATATTTAATTATCTATTGACTTTTTTAGGGATAATATTATCTTATATTATATTTTTGTAATTAAATAAAAAACAAAATTTAAATTTTTATTCTGATTTATGAGGTGTACTTTGCAAGATGTACATTTATGGGATTAATATTATTATGGGAGCACAAGAGGGTAAAATTGTAGAAGAATATATAAAGAAAAAAAAATTGTGTCACGCACAATATTTTTTATATCGAAAATATATTCGATCGTCATTCTGCTCTTAATGTACTTAAGGATAAAACAGGAATTTTACTCCAATCAATCGATCAATCCGCGTGACACCTGATGTTGGCAAACACATTGACGATGGACACGAGCAGATATATTTGATTGCGATCGCGAATGGGGCTAAAAATAGAGGATATCGATGAAGATGCCGTGATTACAATTGTCCGATGACGCGCTGTTTAAATTTAAGCCACCATCGACGACGATTTCCGTCATTCGGGAACGATTGATTAAATCGCGTTATCTACCTACTTATTGCGCAGTGACATAATTAATCGTCGGGAAAACACAAAGCACAATCAATGGTGCGTACGTCGCTAATGCGAAAGAGGAAAAGATGGAAAGGGTAGCAAAGAAGGGGATCATCCGATCGTTGGCACCGCAAGGATTAATCCTTCGTAATGCGGTCGTTATCGCGGTAAAGATTGCTCCTCTCTGATTAGCACTTCATTATCATATCGGTAAGTCGTTGTATGTGTTTCTTTTCGTACACTTAATCCCTTTGGATATTTTTGGTAAATATTGTTTCATAGTAAATTATATACAGGGTGTCCGTAAAGTCTGTCTTCATCCTCTACGTATATTTTTTATATGTATAAATTTTATATTTATATATTTTTATTTTTGTTTTTTTTTTTTTTTATTTCTTTCTTATTTCTTATTTTTTATTTATATATTTATATATATTTTTAGACTTGAATGAAATACACACGTTTAATTATTTCATCCAAGCTCGTAAAAAATTCAGATTTAATCTGAAGTTTTTTTCGTTAGAAGAAAAATTCAAGCAAAATTTAAATTTAACAAGTTGTATTATACCTTATCACTCTATAGAGAATATTGTTACAGAAAATCTTGAATTTTTTTTACAAAAATCTGATTTAATAAACCTATTAATGATTAAATTTTTTAATCGCCAGTTCAAATATTAAGAGAATAAATAATTACGACCATATACAATTTAAATAGCCAGCATTGTGTGGTCGTAATTATTTATTCTCTTAATAAACCTATGTTTGACAACTTAATTCTTCACTATAATACTAATTATATATTTAATTAAGAAGTAAGAAAATATAAATCTTTTTCTTGTATTATATACATTGAGATAAATTAATTTATTTATACTTCACTGTCTCCAATACTATTCGTAAAATACATTAAAAATTGTCGTTTTGTTAGAAAAATGCAATTCAACCAACATTTGTATATATTGATTTATAATACGACTCACATAATACGAAGAACAGAAGATATACAAATTATAATCATATATAAAATTCACTTTTTATTTTTAATATTTATTTTTTTATAGTCAAATTTTAATTAATATTAATTAATATTTATATTAATAATATTATATTAATATTAATATTAATATTATATTAATAATTTATATTAATAGTATAAATATAAATACTAATATTAATTAATATTAATA